AATAGGTGTGATCCAAGTCTCTAGAGGCTTAAGACTTAAGACATTTATACTTTAACAAAATTAGATATCATTCATATATATACACATATATGTCCTATGTAACTATATATAATATCTATATAAGTGTATGTTTCTTATATATCATGTAAATCAAATATACCATTTTAAGCTGTTGCAGCTGTGATGATGAAGGCAAGAATGGGGAAACTAGGTCAAGAATGTTTCTTTAGGTGAGAAGCCATGACGACTAGGACATGCGTTAGTCCTTGTTGATAGGCTTACTACACTACAAAGGTGACAATAGGGGCAGATGTCAGTGGAAAACATAGAAGAATATTTATACAACATGACAGGGAAGACTAGGATGTAGTGACAACAAAATAACTATGTGTTTTTTTTTAATTTTACTTTAGTTAATTGCTGATAGCAGGGAGGACCGCTGGTTCTCATTTATAATAGCAGAACTTGGGTAGTGGTCATCCCGCGATACATGAAATTCTGTCTCAAAAAACAGAGCAAGAACAAATAAAAGTTTAAAAAAACGGCTGATAATGTAGCTCTGTGATTCAGCACTTATTTGGCATATGTAGGATCCTAGTCCAGCCCCCATAGTGCACACATATGCACACGCACACACACACAAACACACACACACACACACACGAGAGAGGGGGGAAGAATGGAGAGGGAGAGAGAGGAAGAGAGGGAGGGAGAATAAACTTAATGCCAAGTTATAAGCCTTATCATTTGAGGAAAATAAATTTTTCCCTTATTCTTTTATAATTGGACTTGTTTTGGCCAATTGTCTAAGGGTTTTACTGGTTAAAGTGTTGCTCATAGTAGTTTTGGTGGCCTGGTGACTACCCCACTAGATACTGAGGAATTTTTGAAAGGGGCGCTTTTTTATTATCCTTTTGAGATTATAGTAAAATTACATAATTTGCCCCTTCCCTTTCAAATCCTCCCATATAGCCTCGCTTCTTATCTTTCAAATGCTTGGCCTTTTTTTCCCATTAATTGTTGCACTCACATATATGTATATATAAACCTATATTTTCCTACATATATCCTGCTCAGTCTGTGTAATAATTACCTGTATTCTTAAAAGTACCACCATTATGACATGTTTACGCTACAGTTTAATTCATACAATTTAAGTGAAATTAGTACTAATGCCTTAAATATGTATTACAAATAGCATCTAGCATGTCTATGCTAAAAGCAGCATTAATTTTAATTTTTTTGGAGAAGAAATGTCAGGTGATGTAAAATTCCCTTCTATATGCTGTGAATACCATTGGTTAATAAAGAAACTGTCCTGGGCCTGCACAGAGCAGAATAGAGGAAGGTGGGGGAAACTAAACTAAATGCTAGGAAAGAAAAGGCAGAGTGGAGAGATGCCATGGAGCCGCCAAAGGAGAAAGATGCAAGCAGTGAGCTGGAACCTTGCTGGCAGGCCACGAGCATTGTGGTAAAATATATACAATAATGAAAATGAGTTAAATTAAGACGTAAGAGCTAGCCAATGAGAATCTAGAGCTAACAGGCCAAGCAGTGGTTTAATTAATACAGCTTCTGAGTGGTTATTTCAAGTCTGGGCATCCTCGAATGAGCAAGCAGCTTCCTACTACAGTCAGGTGTCCCCATCATCCCAGCACATGGGAGGCTGAGGCAAGAGAATTGCCATCAGTTGAAGACAAGCCCGAGCAACACTGTATGACCCTGTCTCAAACACAGGCAGAAAAGTACATGATCCTGACTGAGTCTAATTACAGGCAGCATGGTTAAGGAAACTAATAACGTACTCTTTGAGTTCAGTTTGAGACAAGAAGTCAACCCACAAACTTGCATGCTTAGAACTTTACCATAGAAGCAGAGAAGTTGTCATTTCAGTTGGAGGCATTCAGATCTCATTCAGTGAGAAAGCCAGGAAACAAAGAACTTGTGTTTTGTCCAGACAGATCTACAGAGCACAGTGAGCAGTACCATGAATGGACTAAACAGGAGAAAAAATAATGAAATTGTTACTATTTGATAAGCAATTTTAAGTTTCATTAAATTTAGTAGATTTTGAAAAAAAATGTATGTTTATGGCTTGGAAGCTCCCATAGTATTGCCAAGAAGTTCACACAAGACATCTGGATGGGCTGTGCACATTCCTGCAGGTAAACTAATTCTTCATCTACAACAGCTGGCATTTCCATCAGGTTCCTGCTGGCCTCTAAGTGAATTTGGCTGTTGTACTACAAACACTAATCCAGGCTTAGCTTTGGTGAATATTCAAGGACACACATATAATTAGTGGCCCACACTGTCATGCCCTCCCTTTAATAAGGAAGGACAGAGTGCAGCAGGAACTGTAATACCGCCCCCACCCTCAAAAACCTCACAATCATGAAATGAGCACCCGTATACCTCACAAATCAAATTCTTCTGTTCTCTCCAACGATTAACCAGAATAAAATGAAGAGCTCATGTCTGTAAATGTTGACGAGGCCAACAAAGTAAGAATCATTTCCCCTGCTCCAACAGAACACTCAGAAAGACATTGATCTTCAGTTCAGCTTAATACACGGAGCTTCAGAATCTCATTTTTAACCAAAATTTGAACCTGAATCTTTCCCTAGTTGTAGCCCAGATAGTGGCATCCCCCAAAACAAACATCCTAGGTTGCAGTTCCCCATAAAAATCCTCATGTGTCTTCTTACTTTCTGAGTCCTGTTGGCAGAGGCTGCTCATTTGTTTCTAGTTGCCCAGACCTGAAATAATCACACAGAAACTATATTGGTTGCAATACTTTTGGCAAATAGCTTAAGCATATTGCTAGCTCTTACATCTTAAATTAACCCATTTCTATTAATCTGTATATCACCAAGTGGTTGTGGCCTAGCGGTAAGGTTTCATCTGGTGGCATTTGTCTCCTGCATCTGTCTCCTCCAATGGCTCTACAGCTTCTCTATGACTCTGCTTAATCTCTTCTCTTCTATCTGCTTGGAATTCCCTCCTTGCCCTATTCTGTGCTGCAATAGGCCCCAAACAGCTTCTTTATTAACCAATGGTATTCACAGCATACAAAGAGAAATTCTACATCACCTCCCCTTTTCTATCTAAATAAGGAAGGTTTTAACTTTAACATAACCATTATCAATCAAGAATTATAGATACAATATTTATATATACTTTATCTTTTATCATGACTAAGGAAAAGTAAATTATCTATTCTTCAACTCCATCAAAGACTCCAGAAAGGTATAATATTACCTAAGTAAACAGGAAGTGCATTGTAAACGACGTCCAAAACTTTAGAAATCCTTTTCCTCTTCCGGGGACGGTGCTTAGAGGCACTCAGGATGGTCCAGCGTTTGACATACCGTCGTAGGCTCTCCTACAACACAGCCTCCAACAAAACTAGGCTGTCTCGAACCCCTGGCAACAGGATTGTTTACCTTTACACCAAGAAGGTTGGAAAAGCACCTAAATCAGCGTGAGGTGTGTGCCCAGGCCTACTCCGAGGGGTTCGTGCTGTGAGACCGAAAGTCCTCATGAGATTGTTGAAGACAAAGAAGCATGTCAGCCGGGCCTATGGTGGCTCCATGTGTGCCAAGTGTGTCCGTGACAGGATCAAGCGGGCTTTCCTTATTGAGGAGCAGAAAATTGTTGTGAAAGTGTTGAAGGCACAAGCGCAGAGTCAGAAAGCGAAATAAA